AGACTCGAGAAACCTGCTGATCCACTTGTGACGTCCCAAGCAAATAGCCAAGCGCTTTGTTCACACGGTCGAGCTGCCAGCCTTCACGTCCGACGATCCAGTTACGGCAAAGGTCCCGTCATTTGCGTGCATATCCCCACCATGGCGAAACGAGTGAGAGGTGAGGCCAGGGGTGAGCCGGATATTATGAAGCTTGGCCTTATCTCTAGCTCTAATAGCAGACTGTTAACGTAGGCTTGGGCTCCAGACGGTGACGCGGCTGCTGAGTTCGAAGATTCTGGCATGGAAATGTGGTCGTCCTCTGTCTCCAGAAGCCCAACGAGAGACAATTCCTCCAGATCTTGAGCGCTCATGGAGCTTCGCTTCTTTTAAAGAAATGGAGGAAACATTCGTTTGCATGGAGACCAGCGCTACAGCTATAGCATTGAGAGGGCATTTTAAAAATTGTTGGGATCTTTCAACGAGGACATGCCCTGGAGTAATGATTTTTTAACGCGCTTAAAGCGAAGGAATAAAACACCGCCTACTTAATTAAAATCTAGTTAGAACGTAAAATTGTTTGTCAGACCAATTGTTGGGTACCCGGGAAGATGGACAGTTGCTGTTTCTCGACTTGTTCTGTGTCCGAACTACGACCATACAAGTACCACATCATAACAACGAGAGCGGAATCAAGATATCCGCTCTCATTTGATGCCGTAGTGTATAGTATTCGCACAATTGCTTTTAAATCTTGTTTGGAGCACGGGGGAGCGACTCGTTCGTTACCACTTTCTTCTCGATTTGTGCAGTATCTTCCGAGCCCCGATATAATCTTTTGTAGGTGAGGCTTTACTGACCCGCTCTGTAGCGGGTATTTATCTGCCAACCATTTTTGTTTACGTTTGCATAATATGCAAGACATGTGTTGGTAGCTAAATTTTGGCCTGAGACCTTGCTAGTGAATATACATACTTGTCAAGCAAAATACGAAGCACTTTACCCGTCTTATCAGCATCGATAAGCTTGTGCGCAGCTGTATGTGTCATGCCTTCGGCACCCAGAAACGTGATGAAGGAGTCCAACGCTTTCGCTCGGGCCTTCTTGCTGTTACCAGGGGCCAAGGATGCTATCAACATGACTGATACTCCGCAATTTTATTCTGTACAGAAACCCCTACTGCTGGCTACCATCAGAAACTTCAGGATATTCTTAGAATATGACTTTATATGAAAGTCAGTATCCGACAGACAATATTTTTCAAAGATTCCAACTAAATATGATCAGAATGGTTGGAAACCTGCTTCTATCCAGATGCTTCTTCCATTGGTGTAACATAAGCGCTTTGTTAACGAGGATTGGTTGAAATACGGAAAATGGTGCTAGTGTGTGGTTGCGTAAACATGTATCAATTGAAATGTAGTGGGTAGTAAATCATACCAGAATAACTCCGACCTCCGACAGCTCCGACCGAGCCCATAAAAAGGTCATTTAGAGTAAATAACATAATTTTATGTTGAAATTTTATAAGTGGCTAAGGATCTATTTTTGGGATGTGATATGTCAGCCGTCGTGTCAAAGAATGCTTTTTACCAAACTTATTGCCGGATTCAAAGGCGCGTGAGCTGAGAAGAGTGTAAAAAACTAAAAATGCATAGTATTGGCTCCAACTAGCCAGGAGAGCACGCTCCATGGTAGATTGAAAAATGAGGCTCTGTCCCAGAAATCGGGGTATAGTATTAGGAGCACTCGCTGCCTTTTTACATATTTCGTACGCGTAATTACGAAACAGGCACTGTGGCCCACACAAGAAATGTTGGTAAGACCCTTAAAACAAGTTTTTTTTAGCGACTGGCGTTTGTGAGTGCCGCCAAGCCTAACTCAGTGGCAGTATTGATTTTATTTGCAAGGCACAAGAGACACCCTCTCTACTGTTCGGTCTATTGTGAAGCTACCACGGTATGATGTATTTTTGCATTATAACGTGTTTGTACGATGTGCGGCCCCCTCTGCTTTTCATGCGTGGTGTGCTTGCTTGCGTTGAGGTTAGCATTTATGTTCCGCAAGGAGGTTAAGCTTTGTGTTCGACACAATTCTTAAAATGTTTTTGTGTGCTCTGTAATGAGGTTTACTTTTCTGTTCCACACGTAGGTTAAGCTTAGTGTTCAATACTGGCCTACCAATTTATATGATAACTACGGCTGATTAACTTGTAATACCCGCTGTATTAGCCCCTTATTTCATGCGTATCCTTATGCTTCAGTCTCGTTGAGCGTGCTGTCTTCCACAGCTTCGTCCTCAAAGAGCTTCTTGCGCACAAGAAGACGACACTCTTTTTTCGAAAGCAGCAACAACAGAGGCATGGAGGTGATGACGCGGCTCCCACGTTGGCTCCCAACTGACGAGGTAGTACGTCTCTCGGTTCCGGCGCTTCCAATTTAGCAGCTTGCAGACGTGGTACTTCTGTTCGCCTTCTGTAGTTTCGTCTTCGTGCTCAGCAGGAGATGGCTTGACCAGCCACTCGCGTACATCCTCCAGAATCGCGCGGCGTGTCTTCCTCTCGGACAGTGAAGCTCAAATAATGTCGATGGCTTCAGGCAGCAGGACCTCGGAGGCTACAGTCGTGTTCATGGTAAGTCGTAGGTGGCGGATTGCCTCATCAATAATTCGAAAATTGTGCTTGTTGATGTAGCAATGCAGCAAGACTTGAGCTCCTTGTAAGCGCCGACGGCGTTCTTGGTTGGTTTGAGCGATGTCATGAGGACGGCGTTGTGTCGGCTTGGGTGCGGATTGCAAACTGAGTGGCGGCAAAGGTAAGGCACTTGATTACGGAAGCATTGACTGGACCACCTGAATAGGTAACACTTTATGAATTTACTTGCCAGGAACTATCTCAAAGGCGTTTTGTTGTGTGTGAAGGAGCTAGATCAAGAATGTGACCTGACGCTTAAAGTTGCTGATAGCGGATAATGTGCTTGTTTAGACTGCCACCTTTGTGAAGTTTACGCATGAACTTCAGGGCATTCTGCGTACCACTGGCTGCGATGTTGCGCTGGTTCAGGAACGTGAATAGCGCGGTCTCACCAACCTTCAGGACACGATATCGCGGGAAACTCTCATCAATTTTGAAACCGCCTTCAAGGAACAGTTTGAGAAAAGCGACCACCTGTTTCGCTGTTGATCGCGCATGCTTAGTCTCTGGGCCCGTCGATCTCCACATCCGCGGTTCTTGAGTGTACCAAGTGAACCAAGCGTATTGCCAGCTCGAAGCCATAGAGGTACGTCGTCGCTTGCGTGGTTGTTCGCTCTTTTAACACTCACCTGTCTGTTGCAGTGTTGGTGTTCGTGGATGTTTGCATCCGATCTTGGCTCTAATCACATACTACCGGGTATCTAGTGTCTTGTTCACCTGTATTAACTGTTCGATTAAGGCTGTCTGATGCAGAAACACGGTGTGCTTTGTGACGTCGGCCGTTGTGTCTTGTTCGACTGAGGTGTCAGGTTTCTGGAGGAAACATAGGCAAGGTATGACGACGAAGCGAGAAGATCATTGATGGAGAGCCTTCTCTCAATGGCACACGACTCCAGACGTTGAATTTCAAGAGTGTCAGCTGCAAGGGACTTAAGTGCTGGGTAGTGGGAGAGTATGTAGGTCATGAGGGTGTCCAGAACGCGCGCGTTGACACTGTACTGTTCCGAGGCGAGTCCCGACGAAGACATAAACAGCGCTGAAGCAACAGATCGAATGATGACTTTCGTGGTAGAATAAAAGGAATCGAGGTCTATCAGGGTGACAACTTCTTCAGTGTCGCGATTGCTGAGAGCACGAGCAACTTTATGATCTTCTGCAGGAGTATTGAAGACGTACGCGAAGGCCTTGCTCGTCGACATTATGTTCCAAGCACCACGGTCAAAGATCCACTGCACACACATCCCAGCGCCGTTGGTATGTTGAGCCCCATTCTGACGAAATGAATGAGATGTCAAACGCTCTGTGACACCGGCTTTTGTTGCAACTTTCCCAAAGACACGGTTGACGTAGCTGTGGATACCTGGCGCACCTTCATTTGACTTCCTCTTCTCCAAAGAAGAATGGAGCGGTGCCACGACGCCCGGATGATCCATTAAGTCGATGGAGGGGCTGTGGGGTCAGGCCTGCACTGGACACAGTATACGACTCGGGAAGCTGGCTCAGGAGAGAAGTTGTCGGCATTGCCAAGGATAGCGCAATGGCCACCAGCGGGCAAGTGGTAAATTTCTCGTCCGGGATAAGAGAGAGACCCTGCTCTTCGAATGTCTTCACTCGAATGCAGCGGACGAAGAAGATATTCCCCGAGCCGATCAATATTTTCTCTTTTCGCAGTAACGTGAGGTCAGACGCTCGTCCAAAGAGAAACGAAAGCAGACACAGAATTGCCGCATCTTGATAGTCGGAAGCCGTAACAGCAGTTGAATACTGATACGTCGTCATTTTCTTCAGAGTTGCTTTCGTGCATGCGGGCGTCTTGTTTACAAAAGTACCGGACTCGCGCTTCATGTAATATCGTTCCAGGACCCCCCCTTCTTCAGCAGATTCGTCTCCGTCGCTGGTCGAAGCAGTGAAAACAGCTCTAGCAGCCAGTTGTTGCCCTGTCGGTAATGCTGCATCACCAAATGTCTAACCAAGAGCTGGCCGTTGCAGTCTTTCTTGAAAGCTAAATGCATGCCGAAGTTGTCTACTGCCTCCAGCACGGTAGCAGCGCTGTCGCGCTTCATGCACACCTCCAGGTACTATCCTGTCACGCCTTTCTCAATAAGA